GGGCTCCCACTCACAGGCTGTGCAGATCGACGAATCCCAGGTTCGGCAGATAAGCTGACAGCTCAAGTCCCAAGGACGGGAGATGAGGCGACAGGAAGCAGCTGCAGGATCCAGAGAGAGCAAAAAGCCAGAACGTCCACCTATATACAGATGCGGGCCACACCCACAAGGAGATTCCCTTTCATCTGATTGGCTACTCACAGTATATTCAATCATGGGAGTGATTACATTAAAACACGGAGAATCTGGCCCAGCCAAGTTGACACACAATCTTAACCATCACACCTGGTGATCTGCTTTGGAAAGATCACAGCCTTGAAAACCCTAAGCACTGCAGTTCTAGTCTGACACACCTGGGGTCGCCATGAGTCTGAGTCAACTCCACAGCAACTTTTTGTTTTAAATAAAACATTGAAACCATAAACAAGTTAACAATTTGGGAGAATTTGTGATTAAATGTCAAGCCAAATAAGCAGTATTTTTCTGAGCATTTTGTTTGTTCAAAGCATTGTGATAGAAACTGGGAACACAAGCTTAAAATAGCTCTTGTTCTCAAGGTGCTTGTAGTATAGCTGAAAATGGGAAACTGTAAAAGCAAACTGAGGGTATAGGAAGTTCAGAGGGAGGGAATGTCACCTCTGTCTTTGATGCTCTTTGTCTTTTCTTTTTATTAAAAGACTGGACTTTTTTCTTTTTTAGGTTACAGAAAAATTCAGCAGAAAGTACAGAGAGTTCACATCTACCTTCCTCTCACTGCACACTGTTCTCCTGTGATTAACATCTTGCATTCCTGTGGTACATTTGTTGTAATTGATGAACCAGTATTGACACATTATTATTAACTAAGTTCATAGTTTACTGTAGGGTACACTGTTACTGTTGTACAGCCCTATGGGTTTTGATAAATGAGTAATGTCACGTATCCACCACTTACCGTATCCCGCAGAATAGCCTCCCTGCCCTAAAAACGCCCTATGCTCCACCTAGTCATCCTTCCTTCCTCTCCCTGACTCTTGGCAACCACTGGTCTTTTTTCACTATTTACATAGTTTGGTTTTTTCCAGAATATCTTATATTTGGAATCATACAGACTGGCTGCTGCTGCTGCTTTTTTAAAAATTTTATTGGGGTGAAAATATACATAAAACATATGCCGTCTCAACAATTTCTACATGTACAATTCAGTGATATTGATTACATTCTTCAAGTTGTACAGCCATTTTTGCTATTCTTTTCCAAATCATTCCACTACCATAACATAAACTTAATGCCCCTTAAGCAAGAACTCATGCTTCCCCCTTTCCTCCCACCCCTGGCAACCACTTATAATCTTTGGTTTCTGTGTATTTGCTTATTTCATATAAGTGAGATCATACAATATTTGTCTTTTTGTGACTGACTCATTTCACTTAGCATGATGTTTTCAGTGTTCATCCATATTGTGGCATACATCAAGACTTCATTTCAATTTATGGCTTAGTAATATTCAGTTGTATGTGTATATCACATTTTGTTTATCCAGTCACCTGTTGATGGACATTCCAGTTGTTTCCACCTTTTGGCTTTTGTGAAAAGTGCTGCAGTCAACACTGGTTGTTATGGATTGAATTGTGTCACCCCAAAATGTGTGTCAACTTGGCTAGGCCATGATTCCCAGTATTGTGTGATTGTCTACAATTTTGTCATCTGATGTCATTTTCCTATGTGTTGTAAATTCTACTTCTAAGATGTTAATCAGGGAGAATTAGAGGCAGTTATGTTAATGAGGTAGGAGTCGATCTACAAGATTAGGTTGCATCTTGAGTCAATCTCTTTTGAGATACAAAAGAGAAAAGTGAGCAGAGAGACAGGGGACCTCATGCTACCAAGAATGAAGAAACAGGAGGGAAGTATGTCCTTTGGACCTGGGGTCCCTGCGCTGAGAAGCTTCTAGACCAGGATAAGACTGATGATAAAGACCCTCCCCCAGAGCCAACAGAGAGAGAAAGCCCTGCCCTGGAGCTGGCACCCTGAATTCAGACTTCTCTTCTCCCAGACTGTGAAAGAATGAATTTCTCTTTGTTAAATCCATCCACTTGTGGTATTTCTGTTATAGCAGCACTAGATAACTAAGACATTGGTGTACAGGTTTCTGTTTGCGTCCCTGCCTTCACTTCTTAGTATATACCTAGCTTGGGGATTGCTAGGTGATATGGTAGTTCTATGTTCAACTTTCTAAGGAACCGCCAAACAATTTTCTTCAGTGGCTGTACCATTTTACATTCCCACCAACAATGGATGAGGGTTCCAGTTTCTCCACCACCTCCCCAGTACCTGTTGTTTTCTGTTTTTCTGATCATTGCCATTCTAGTGGGGGTGAAGTGGTATCTCATGGTAGTTTTAATTTGTATCTCCCCAATGGCTAATAATGTTGAGCATCTTTTTAAGTGCTTGTTGTCCATTTGAATATCTTCTTTCGTGAAATGTCTGTTCAAGTCCTTTGCTCATTTTTTTAAAAATTGTGTTGTTTGTCTTTTTGTTAAGTTGCAGAAGTTATATACATATTTTGGATGTTAGACCCTTACCGAGTATATGATTCTTGAATTTTTTTCCCAACCTGTATGTTCTCTTCACTTTTTTGATTAAGTCCTTTGATGAACAAAAATATTTAATTTTTATGAGGTTCCACTTATCTATTTTGTCTTTTGCTACTCATGTTTTTGTTGTCATACAGACTGGCTTCCTAATGCATTTAAGGTTCTTCCATGTCTTTTCCTGGCTTAATAGGTCATTTCTTTTCATTGCCAAATAATATTCCATTGTATAGATGTACCACAGTTTGTTTAATCTTTCACCTATTGGAGGACATCTTGGATGCTTCCAGTTTTTGGCAATTAAGAATAAAGTTTCTACAAACATTTGTGTGTAGGTTTTTATGTTGACATGTATTTTCAACTCATTTGGGTAAATACCTAGGAGCACAATTGCTATATCATATGGCAAGCTTATGTTTACCTTTATAAGAAACTTCCAGGCCCTCTTCCAAAGTGGCTATACCATTTTGCATTCTCACCAGCAATGAGAGTGCCTGTTGCTCTACATCCTTGTCAGCATTTGATGTTGTCAGTGTTTTGAATTTTAGTCATTCCAATAGATGTGTAGTAGTATTTCATGTTGTTCTGTTTGCGGTTCTCTAAAGACATATGAAGGAACCCTGGTGACACAATGGTTAAGCGCTTGGTGACTAATGAAAAGTCAGTGTTTCAAACCCACCAGCCACTCTGTGGGAGAAAAAACCTGGTGATCTGCTCTGCAAAGATTATCCTAGGGAGATTAGCCTAGGAAATCCCATGGGGGCATTTCTACTCTGTCATATAGGGTCACTATGAGTCAGAATCGACTTGATGTCAGATGACAACAACTACAAAGATCTATGAAGTTGAACATTTTTTCATAGCTAGTCATCTTTTTTTGACTAAAGCAACATTTGATACACTTGGCCACTCCCTCTTTTAAAACTGGTCTTTTGGCTTCTCTGCTGCCAAACCCTCCTAGTTTCCTTTCATGTCACTGTCCGCTCTTCTTCCTGGCCTCTAAATGTTAGGGTGTCACAGGCTTCTCTATCTGGACTCTCTGCCTAGAGTGTTCTCATTTAGAAGCTTCTGCTAAGGACTCACCAATTTATCTGTCACTCAGAGCTTCAGAACTCTGCCCAACTGCCTACTTGACACTTCTACTTGGAAGTCTAATGTAACACATTTGGAATTGAACTCTTAATTTCTTTCTTCACACCTCCTCTGCCTGGTTCTCTGGCACCACCATCTGTCCAGGTGCATTTCCTCCCTATGTCATATACCCATGGGTTCTTTTAGTTTTACCTTCAGCTTTACAGAGTCCACTGCCATCACCCTAGTCCACACCGCCATCCCCTCTCGTCTGGGCTCCCCGTATACCTCCTAACTCAGCTCACTCTTAGCTTTTTCTCTTGACTGCACACAGCCTATTTTATATATAAAGGCATAGTGAGTTTTTAAAAATGTAAATCAAATCATGTCACTCTCTTTCTTAATGCGTTCTTGTTACACTGAACGTAAAACTCCTTAATGTGGCCTACAAATAGAGTGACAGTCCTGTCCAGTTTATCATTTTCCCATATAAAAGTGTATCAGTTTGAATGAAAATTTTTTGGTCCCTAAGGCTCTTCTTGTCTCTCCAGCCTCATGTCATACTGCTCCCCCTTACCCCAAAATGCCACATCATACAGCTACCTTTAAATTCCTGGGAGGACAGAGCTCGCTTTTGACCACCTTCATAAATAAATATTGTTTACAGATGCAGTTTAAAATGTTTTGAAAGTGTATACGTCATACAGAGGCATGTGGTTACCGTTGTCACAGAGAGAAGGCACTAACATGCCCCCACCAGTCTTGTGCTAGCGCTTCACGTGTACATTCTTATTAGATCCTAGGGCAGCCTTGAGAGATTGGTGCAGTCACCCCCATTTTGTACATAATGAGGTTCCAGTTTAGAAAGTGATTCTCAACTGTGGTATTTTGTCCCCCAGGCGGCATTTGGCAATATCTGGAGACATTTGAGACATTTTTGATTATTGTGACTGGGGGTGGGGGTGCTAATAGTGTCTAGTGATAGAGGCCAGAATGCTGCTAAACATCCTACAATGTACAGGACACCCCTGACCAGGAACACTTGTCTGGTGCAACATGCCAATAGTGACGAGGTTGAGAAGCCTAGGTAACATAGCTAGTAAAATAGCAGAGCCAGAACCTTTCTGACTATAACGTCCAAATAGGTTGTTCAAACCATCTCACTCTGTCTCCCAAGGCCACAAAACAGCAAAAGCTAAAAATCTGAATCATGGAAAGTAATGAAGCTTTAAATATTGACATTTTAGGAACAATTTCACAGTGGAGACAACATTTTAAAAATAAATGTCCAATCACATTTGTTGTTAGTTTTTGTTTTATTATCATTAGGTCTTGCTTTGGGACATTGTTCATTCATTTCAGAAGCTAATGAAGTTGATATTTGTTTTTTATTTCAGGCGTCATTCTCTCAGAAGACCAACCTGTAGCACCCATGTCATCTACCTCACCGTGTGTCAAAAGGGAAAACTTGCCAGTTTCCAAAGAGTACATGCCAGAAACCACGGCCACATCGGCAATACCAATGAAGCCAGTTACCACAGAACCTGTACTCAATAATAAAGTGAAGGAAAGAGGAGGCAAGGTGCAGCCCCCTTTCTGCCACCGATCAGAGGGTGGGCTAGAAGACAAAGATGCCTTGAAGAAGTTGCCGCACTTGTCTTTGTCTCAGTACGACTTACTAGAAACAGACGTTTCTTTCCACCCCTGGGGGAGTGAGAACTCAGTCCTGATTCCAGAACCTACACATCATCCCAAGGGCTCCATCAGGGAACAGTTGCAAAGCAAGTCTCCTCAGGACAGCCTGAGTAGCAGCTGCCCTCAGTGTAACACCGTCATCACCAAACAGGTGGAGGAGCTGGTGGACATTTCCTGCCAGGTGGATCCTCCCTTGGTTGAGGAAGTTAACTACTCTGGTAGTGAGGTAGCTGTTACCCTGATTGACACTTCCCAACCTGGTGACCCGCTGAGCCTGCACGAGCCCATTAAGATTGTCATCACAATGAGCAGTACCCCAAACTCCATGATGGACTTGGAAAGCTCTCTCCACCTGAAGGTGATTGGCACAGAAAGAACTAGTCCAAAGATAGATGCTGAGCCAGCTACCCAAGGGGTAGCCAGTCCTCCAAAGAGCGAGCAGATCCGAATTCCCGTCATCACCCTCGAGCTTTCTGAAGATGGACAAGGAGGCACTATTTGTCCTGAAAGCAATGGGAGTGAAAGGACACCAGAGAGACTGATGATGGAGGCATCCTGCAATCAGTGCTCTGGCTATGAATCTGGGGAGGGAGGCAGTGCCACAAAAGACTGCAGTCTTTCCCCAAAGGACTACTGTGAAGCAACCCCCCTGCTCACACCCAACATGGCCTCTGAGGCTGCGGGAGGAAAGGAAGGCCAGGCTAACCTTGACCCTTCATCTTGTAAAAACAGCCATGAAAAGAGTCATGCCCGGGTCCTCAGTGTGGGCAGTGCAACCGATGTCTTCTTGAGTAAGAGTTCTGCGGAAGTTGCTAGCGATAAAGAGAAAACAATACCAACTTCCAAATCTGACTTGGAGGCTAAGGAGGGGCAAATACCAAATGAATCCAACTTCCTAGAATTTGTCTCCCTGTTGGAATCAATTAATACTTCCAAGGTAGTGGCAGCCAATCAGTCGAATGGCTCAGCAGAGCAGAACAAAGAAAGCAGGCTTCTTGGAGGTACGATTCCACCTCAGTTCTGTTCTGATGACACGAAGAAGGCAATATATCTCTTTCTAATTTTCCCTCCGTGATTTGATCTTGAAAATAGCAGGACAATTATTGTGCAATTGTTTGCTGCTTGGCTTTGTAATTAATATTTGATTAATGTGCCAATACTTAGCTCTGTGATGAGCATATATTAAAAATTAGATACTCTACCAGGAAAGGTCCCTGGGTAGCGCAAGCAGTTTGTACTCAACTGCTAACCTAAAGGTTGGCAGTTCGAACCCACCCGGCAGTGTTGCGGAAGAAAGCCTGATGATCTACTTCTGTAAAGATTATAGCCAAGAGAACCCTGTGGAGCAGTTCTACTCTTTAACACATGGGGTTGCCATGAGTGAGAATTGACTCCATGGCAACAGGTTTGGTTTTGTTTTTCTACCAGGGAACTTAAGGCATTGTAATGAATTTTTTGCTTCCCTAGAAGGCAAGGATATTTATTACGAGGGAAACAGGCCATTATATTTTACTACAGCAGCAAGAACTCACTAGAAAAGTCTCTTCCTTAATATAATAGATGCACTGTGGGAAAGCTGATTATAAAGCAAGTCGCTGTTAAGTGAATCTCCTTTTCCTGTTGAATTCCGTTATAAAATCCTATATGCAGAATTCTTTAATTATTACAAGTTGTAAACATGATAATAACAAACACTGACATAGCTCTTAATTCATGCCAGACACTGCTCAAAGCCCTTTGCATACATTAGCTGGGGTGACACACATAACGGTTTGCCTAGGATGAGCCCTGCCTTTCACTGTCACATGTTTCCCCAGCTTGACTGATAAATTGTACAGTTATCCTCATATTAACTCCTTTACTCCCCACAAAACTTTATTTTGTAGGTGTTATTATCATTCCTGTTTTACACATGAGGACCCCAAGGCTCAGAGATTTTCACTAACTTTCCCAAGTTCATACCTCTAGTAAGTGGCAGAACTGAGATTTGATCCCAGGCAGTCTGGCTTCACAGCCCAAGTTCATAATAATTAAACTGTATTGCCTACAGGAATATGAAGATTCAAGTATTGTCAGTTTCCTCATCAATAAAATTATGTTACTGGACTGGAGTTTTTATAAAACCTTTAAATTTCCGCATTTCTGTGATTTTTAAGTGCACAGTTTCTGCATCTGTCTGTGCTGAGATCCTGTCTGTATGGAACGATAGCATGCTGGAAGTTGTAGTTGCTCTAGGTAGTGCCTTTTCTTTGCTGTAGGCTGTAGCATTTCTTAGTGCTGGGATTATTCCATTGCCTCTGGCCACTCGCTGTTCTCTGGGGCAGCCAGGAGCGGAGGCTTCCCGTATTGGTGGCTCTGAGAAATTCACTCTTTGGTTTTTCTTTTTTCTTTAAAGTGCAATGCCAAAAGGTCTGCCATGCATGCTGATTCACCCTGCTATCTTTTCAAGAGAAGATTAGCATACACCTAAATTTGTTGTTGTTAGGAGCCCTCGAGTCGACTTTTGACTCATAGTGACCCCATGTGACAGAGTAAAACTGCCCCATAGGGTTTTCTAAGCTGTAATCTCTATGGGAGCTGATTTCCAGGTCTTTCTTCCTCAGAGCCTCTGAGTGGGTCACAACTGCCAACCTTTGAGTTAGGAGCTGAGTACTTGACTGCTGGGCCACCAGGGCTCCTGGCTCTGTTGTCTTAAATTCATTAAGTTTGAATACTTAAATTATGTAAAGTGAATCTGTTATCTAATTTATTATTTCTACACATCTGGGATTTTACCTATAGAATTAGTTAGGAGCGGGAAAGATTTGGTCAAACCTTTTAACAAACATAGGCAGTCATGAAAGCAGGATTACTTTCTGATATAAAATTTGGGTGTTCATCATTTATTCAATATAAAGTTTCATGCATCTAGACCAGCACTGTCCAGTAGAACTTTCTGCAGTGATGAAATATCCTGTATCTACTGTCTCATATTGTATCCACTAGCCACATGTGGCTACCAAGTACTTGAAATCTGGATAGAAACTAAGAAACTAAATTTTTAATTTTACTGAATATTAGTTAATTTAAATAGCCACATGTGACTGGTGGCTCCCATATTGGACAGTCCCATCTGGACGCCTGTGTATCTTCCTGGGAAGCTGCATGCATGGTGGACAGAAGCTTGACTTTGGAACCTGGGTAAGCATGGATGAGTTTTTAAATCCATCTGAATCACAGTTTCTTCAATAAAACAGGAATAATAATATATTATAGATTTATTGTGAGGATTAAGTTAGGAAAATATACTAAAAGCCTGGTACTTAGTAAACTAAAGCCTTTTATTCTGCCCATATATATAGTTTATTTGGTTTGTCCACTTAAGTTTCCCCTCTTTTTAAATTCTTTGGCCAGCCATGTTCAATCAGAACAATATTAAATTGGAATTCTAGTATCATGCAAAGAAATACAGACACTTTAAGAGTTTCTCTGGAAGAGAATAGGCTTGGATGTTGGGAACTTGGAGTTAAAGCCGGGAGGGAGGCGTTGGAGTGGATTATATGCCTCTTTCAGGAAGGGATAGAGTCTTTAAACTGAAAGAAGAAAGGAAAGGACTACAATAAGTCTTTTAGTTCTTGGAAGGCAATTAATGCCAAAGGTCGAAAATTAGATAGCTAACCTAGAGCTTAGCAGTTCGAAATCACCCAGAGGCTCCGTGGAAGCAAGACCTAGCGATCTGCTTCCTTAAAGATTACAGCCTAGAAAACGCTATGAGGCAGTTCTACTCTGTCACATGGGGTCACTGGTCAAAAATCAACTCGACAGCACACACAACATCATCAACAACAGCGGTTTTTCAGTGGTATCTTACATCTTTGAGATTGGAAGTATTATCTTGCTTCTCTACCACCAAAGAATATTTTGTTGTTCAGTATAATCTAAAAACCCAATTTTGGAGAATATTTACAAAACAACTTGACAGTGTTTAATGATATTAGCAGCGTAGGGAATTGTCTTAGAGTTCTCTAGAGAAGCAGAATTACATATGTGTGTGTATATATATGTACACAAGTATCTGTCTGTTTATCTGTTTACAGAGAGACTCAGAGAGAGAGAGGCAGAGACAGAGACATTTACTGCAAGGGATTGGCTCACATGATTGTGGGTTTTGGCAAGCCAAAATCTGTAGGTCAAGTGACAGGCTGGCGACTTGCTTGGCTTGTGTCCCAAGATCCATAGATGAGGTGATGGAAAGAGTGCAGAGTGGTAAGAGCATGAGAGTGTAAGTTCTATAAAATACTTACAGTTTGGAGGCAGACCACACCCTGAGGAAACTCCTTTTTTAATTGATCGATTGATTACATTATATTAGTATACATTGTGGCAAGTGATTATATTACATTACACTAGATTACATTATGGAACAACTAGTCTAGCATTTGGCCAAACCACAGGGAACCACAGCCTAGCCAAGCTGACACATAAAATTAACCATCACAAGAATGTTCCCTAATCTTTCTCCTGCCAAATAATAGAACAATGCTTGAGTTTTAACATGATTGAAAAAGGATATGTGATTTCCCAGTTCTCTCCAACATACGCTTATTTCTAGCCCCGTTCATCTCCACAAATAGCTTTAGGATTATCCTTAGACTTTGAGAATACCCTAAAGTTCAAAGCTATGGAAAACCACATGCAAATACTTGTCAAAAGCCTTTAAAATACATTTTAATGCAGATTTTTACTTCTAGAAGTTTCTAAGAAAATAATCATGGATATATGCAGATTCCTTATTGAAGAACTGAAAAATTGAAACAGCCTAAATATACAACAAGGGTGTAGTTAAATAAATTACCCTGTATCAATATAATATTATGTATCCACCATGTTTGGATAATGTAGAAGAATATCTAATGGCATCAATTATTTATGATGCTTTATATAACTAAATATAGTTATAAAACAACATCTGTATTATGATTTCATTTTTTGTACAATAGAAAAAAGACTGATGTGATACACATCAAATTGCCTCCACTGTTTATGTGAAGGATGGCAGAGATAAGAGTGATTTAAAATTTTTTCTCTTTTTCTCTAGTTTTAAATTATATGCAATGAATATATATTATTTTATAAACAGAAAAATTCCCATGAATTTTAAAAGGGAAAAGGAAAAAAACTTGTCCATATGCTGGCATATCAAATGTACCCATTTAAGAGACAGGGAGACAAAGCCATGATAAAGAGATCTGAACAGATAAATCCAAATACATGCAGTGTGAAGGCATAGAGCTTTCTAAATGACTGATTTTTTCATCTCATTTTTCTGTACCTTTCTATGATTTTTAAGCTATATGATCACTGGCTAATGCTATTTATTATGATAGTGCTTTTTCATAAATGTGTTTCTTGAAAATTGTGAAAACTTATATCTTGACAAGCTGTCAAACGAAATGCAGATATTTTTGTTCCAAACAAATTTGAATAGTGGTTTCACAGATGTGCTGGGAATGGTTATCTTCAGGACTCACACAGAAGCCAGCAATGTTTCTCTAATTACTTGAAGTCTAAGATTGAAAAGCCTTATTATATATGTAAGAATTTGATTCAGACCCCTTGGGAGCTGATAGTTTTACCCTTTGAGGCAGATCTGTCCTAGTAGTATGTCTGAGGAGGGCCCAGTCCTAAGAGGTGCATTCCGTTCAGGGGTGACCTTCTCTCAGGCCCAGGCTGGTGAGCTATAGAGCCCAAAATTTACTCATAAGAAGGTAGCTACTGGTACCTTGGTTGTGGCAATACAGTGGTCATTTTGACCTTAAAAGTGTCTGAGGGGTGTGTCCTAGATAAAGGAAAGACTGATCTTTAGAGGCATTTTCAGTTTTACATAGTAGCTAAGACCCTTATTAACTGATTCTGTATCGATCTTGGAATTCTCATTCTCCTTAAAATGTTCTCAGGACAAGGACTATGTCCTCCACAGTGTTGGGTGTATAGTTAAAAATCAGCTATATTTAACGTGTTTGCTTTATGAAGGAATCATTCGACCTTTAGTTTGAAAATATAGATTTGGAGAATGAGCGAGAAGGAAAGATTGATAAGATTATGAAATGATAAATGAGACCTTGCTCCTAAAACTCTGACATAAGAATAGCGATAGCCAGGTTTGTTCATATAATTTTTGTTTTATCTGATGCTGTCCATTTATGAGTTATGAACCTTTCAGGCCTAAGTATTCTAAATGGGTGATTTCCAAGCCGGGCAAGCCAGTGGTCACTGGAGTTATTTCAAGGAAGTCCCTGAATCTGTATGTAAAATAAATGGTGTTTGTAGATGTTTTCAGGGCAACAGACAAAGATATGTCTCAAACATGTAGGTACTTCTGTTTTTAAAGTGTATTTAGGTACTTTCATAATTAGGGAGCCCTGGTGGCACAACGGAGACCTGGTGGCGTAGTGGTTAAGTGCTTGGTAGCTAATCAAAAAGTTGGCAGTTTGAACCTGCCAGCTGCGCCTCTGGAGGCAGATGTGGCAGTCTGCTTCTGTAAAGATTACAGCCTTGGAAGCTCTATGGGGGCAGTTCTACTCTGTCCTACAGGGTCGCAAGGAATCAGAATCAACTCAATGACAATGAGTTTGGTTAAGTGCTTGGCTACTAACTGAAAGGCCGGTGGTTCAAACCCCCCAGTGGATCTGCAGGAGAAAAGACCAGCGATCTGCTCCCATAAACGTTACAGCCTAGGAGACCTTATGGGGCAGTTCTGTTCTGTCCTTCCCTTTCATGAGCACTGGGATATATGGCTGTCCACCAACATTTGCTGCCACCCATGTTTCTTGGGAAGCTGTCCCGTTTTTAGCGCATGTTGCTTCAAGGTGGGGGCCTGTATAACAGTTTGAAATGGAAAAAAAAAAGCGTGTGTGCCGCAAATTACTGTTTTTACAGGGTATTGTACGAGGTGATGCTGAAGCAATGTTTTTGGCATGAAAAATACAGATTTTGATAAGTTTTTTTTGGACACATATGTCTCACTGGACTCTGGGGAGGGGGTAGATTTAGTGGGATACGTATGTCTCTCTGGACTCTGAGGTTAGGATTGGTGGAATGAGGAAAGAAACAATCCATAGTACCTACCAAAAATTCAAACACACTCAGTGATTCAGTATGCATTCCATAAATGAAAACACATGGTACCAACAAAAAATTAAAGCAGCAAATAACTGGGTCTTGAAAGAGATTCTATAGGGTCATCATGAGTTGGAAGATGACACACAACAACAACTTTCGTAATTAATAAAATGAAAATTGATCGAAAAGCATTCTGAATTCATAGGAGCTGGTGGTGCAGTGGTTAAATGCTCAGCTGCTAACCAAAAGTTGGTGGTTTGAGCCCACTAGCAGCTCTATGGGAGAAAGACGTGGCAGTCTGCTTCTGTAAAGATTACAGCCTTGGAAATGCTATCGGGTAATTCTACTCTGTCTTATAGGGTCACTATAAGTTGGAATCAACTTGATGGTAATGGTTTTTTTTGTTTTATTTGCAATTTCTGTCTGTGCTTATTTCAGATTTGGTAATTTATTTCTAAGAGCTTTCACATGTACTTTCTTATTTAATATTATATTAATCTATAAGAAGCAATGTTTTTCAGATAACTGTTCCCAGGAGAAAAAGGAGGAAAACCTGGAAAGTGAAAAGCCTGGTGGACACAATTCCAGACAAGGAAAACTGGATATGCAAAGTCAAGACCACACGAACACTAGCCCCGTGTTCACTGAACCTGCCAAGATTACGACCCTGTAAGGATCATTTACTTAGCTTCGCATTGGTGCAGAGTGTGAGACCACCTCATTTACTGGCTGCTTCTTTTAATGCTTTATTGAGGATAAAGAGAAATTCCTAATAGTTTTTGAAACTTTTATATATGTTAAGTTTCCAGGGTAATAGACAAAGACAAATAATCTACAGGGTAACTTCCCAACAAGATAGTTCCGTCTTGCAAGTCATCAGTGGGCCTGAAACATCTGTGCAAGATGAGATATCTGTGGATGCTATGCATGTCTTCATTGATGAACACGGTAAGTCTTGAAAGCTCTTTACTAAAGGGCTGTGGGGATAGCTGGCCGCTTTCTCAGGACTCATTATCGTCTGTTAGCCTGAGCACCAGACTTTGGAACAAGGAGACTTGGTCGTATGATTGCTCACAGAATGTTTAGAACATGTTATGCTTCCTCCTGCCTCAGGGCCTTTGCACATGCCATGTCCCTATGCCGGCAATGTACTATAAATATGTATATATGTACGTGTGTGTATGTGTGTGTGTGTGTGTGTGTATATATATATATATATACACGTCATATTTTATGCAAATAACGCATGCCTTCTATGTTTGTTTGCCAACTGCTCCCTCCCCCTGGGGGGTATTTTCCTAAGCGTGCTATACTAATTTTTTCTACAGGAACATGTAAAAATAAATTGGCATAGTGGCCCTTATGAAAATACCTTGCAGTGGGAGAAAATCGCTGGCAAACAAACGTAGAAGGCCCGCATTATTTGTGTAAAAATCTGGTACTTCAGATATCAGTTCTAAAGGAAAACCTTTCCTGGACTGCCCAGACTTGATCAGGTTCCTCTGCTTTTTAGTCTCTTAATATCCTGTTCTTTTCCTTCTTTGATTTTATTAAGTTTATAATTATTTATCTACTTGTAATAATTTCATTAATGACATTTTCCCCCTTGAAATTGTAAACTTCAGGAGGTCAGTGCCCAGCACCCAATAAATATTTGTTGGCTATAAGTTGAAAATCTGACCTGATATATTGTTTCACTGCCTTGTTATAAAATTAAAGATTACAACCTTGGAAACCCTATAAGGCAGTTCTACCTTGAAGGAGCCCTGATCGTGCAGTGGCTAAGCGCTCAGCTGCTAACCAAAAGGTTGTCGGTTCAAATCCACCACCCACTCTGGGGGAGAACGATGTGACAGTTTGCTTCCATAAAGATTTACAGCCTTGGATATCCTGTGGGGCAGTTCTACTCCGTCCTGTAGGGTCACTATGAGTCAGAATCAACTTATCAACAATGGGTTTTGTTTTGGTTTGGTGTATACAGATCAGTAGTTTATAGTTTTAAGTGCTTTTCAGTCTGTAGAAATATACTAAGAGAATGGTTATTATGAAAGTTCTGTTATAAAGAAAAAAGATTATCACTTCAAAGCCTTTAGAGGGGCTCTTTCCTTGTGGAGTTTCTTTTGGATGTAGCTATAATTTGTAATGTTTCTCTTTTGATGGAGTTAGTTTTCGAGTTCAGAACCAGCACTCCAGTTCACATTTTAGTCTCTCACATTCCTGGCTAATTACGCTCTTTGTGTCACCTGAAGAAGATGTTCCTGAGAACATTTTTGGGGAGAGACTTAGAAAAGCAACTGATTTTCACACCTCAATACCCTGAACCGTCTTTAGAAGAGCTAATTTAACTCTGTAAGTTAATTCTGCTGCTGATTTTCCTCATTACCAGGCACCTCACCTGTCAGGTGCTGTGACATCTCTCATCTGCACAGTCAGTGGGGGATGGCATGTCTGTGAAGCCTCTCTGTGTGCACGATTCTGATGTGACTATGCATAGAAAACACCCAGTTGCAGCATAGCACAGATCACATTGGCACGTGAAAGGAATACTCACAAAAAAATGAACAGAATATATAAAAAGTGAATGAAGAGAAGATACAAATCAATCAAAAGTAATTAAGTAATAAGTAACCGAGTCAAAACTTATGTAAGCATATTATCAGTGAGGTATGGCAAGAACATTTCCATCGTGAGGTTTTTTTTTTTTTAGATGTTCTTCATCTTCTCATGATACACATTTTGTGGAGAAATATAAGGGATGGACCCAGATTGTCAGCTATAATTATTAAAGTGGTCCGAAACAAATTCCCTCTACCTTGAAAATAGTGTAAGCTGAAATGCTCATATACAAGTCATTGTGTAACAGCCTTGGCTGAAATTTCTTGATTTTACAGGGGAAATTAGATCCTGTTATTTAAAATCTGGAAATCAGAAAGAAGGACCTTTGCAACATCAGCCGTCAAATTATGACTATTTTTCAGATGCTCGGTAAGTGTAGCTTTATTTTTAGGTTTGGGAGCTGTTACATTGCTGGGGGACATGCAAATTGTTCAAACTGAAAATGAAATGAGGCATCCTGGTGTAGAATGAATGTGTTAATCAGCTTGTAGGTTAACAAGATCTGTGGTTTTGGTGTTAAGAAGAAAATCTGACTTTGTGGAATAAGGAAAAATAAACAGAATCTTTTCATAGTAGCCACTTCGAAAAGTGAACATAATATGTAGGTATAATTAAAGAAGAAACCTAGTAAGTACGATCTAAAAAAAAAAAACAAACAAACTTGTTGCTGTCGAGTCTATTCCTGGGCTCCGTAAGCATGGTAATACGCATAATTGAGGAAAGATGGTGACGCAGCTTGAGAACGTGTTATTAAACTTGTCCAAATGGGTCAGCTAGAAATGGAGTTAGTCCTCATTCACATGGACGTAGGTAAGCTTTTTGTAGATAGATCATCTAAACGTCATTCCTATTTTAGTTCAGAATATGTTGAATAGCTTTCTTAATTATGTTAATTAAGTTAATATTAAATTAGCTTGCATATCCTGAGCATATGCTAATTAACAGCAACGTTAGGCAAACTAAGTCTTCTTAGTGGCAGGCTGAATTCATACTGAGTTTAAAGTTTCTTTGCAGATAATCCAGATGAACATGTATCAGTTCCTCACTCTAAATGTAGAAGTAAAATTTTTATCTCTCTCTTCAGAGTTGTCTGTAGGGTTGAGAATTTATGGGAGACTTTGTGGGATAACTGGAATGTCGGAGGCCTCACACCTGAAGAATATAAAAGGAGTTATGTTATTTATGTTAGTTGCCATGGAGTCGGCTCTGACTCATGGTGACCCCACGTGCAACAGAAGGAAACGCTGCCGGGTCCTACGCCCTCTTGATTATTGTTGGTATGCTCGAGGCCATTGTTGTGGCTGTTGTGTTTTGCCTTCCAACCTCAGGGGCTCATTTTCCAGCACTATATCAGACAATAAAGATCCCTGGTGGCACAGTGGTTATGCGCTCGGCTGCTAACCAAAAGGTTGGTAGTTTGAACCCATCAGTGGCTCTGCAGGAGAGAAGACCTTGCAGTCTGCTCCCGTAAAGATTACAGCCTAGACAGCCTACACAGTTCTACTCTGTCCTGTAGGGTCACTATGAATCAGAATCAACTGAACGCCACACAACAACAACATATCAGACAATATTCTGTTGTGATCTATAGGGTTTCATTGCCTAATTTTTGTAGGTAGATTGCCAGGCCTTTCTCCCTAGTCTCTTTTAGTCTGGAAGCACCACTAAAACTGGTGGCATAGCTTCCAGCATCATAGCAACATGCAGGCCACCATAATATGACAAACTGACAGATGGGTGGTGGAAAAGGTGTTATAAGAATATTAATTGCAAATTCTGTCGTCCTGTGTCCTTTGCCAAGCTCAAAGTTTCCTTCCCAGGTGTTTATGGGAAGTTCAAGGGGGTCCTTTCTCATGCCTAGAATAGAGTCTGTCCTTGTCCTTTCAGTCAGGCCTCTGTGTGGAAATCTGCTAATTGCTAACCTTTCAGGGCATTCTGTCATCACTGCCGTGCAGGGTATCAACATGTGGTACATCTAGAGAGCACTGTGTCTCTCCCCATCACCCAAGCCCCACTGAACCTGGGCCTGGAGGCAGCCCTGCGCCTGTGGGAAACGCGTCCAGCTCTCCATTGCCTGCCTTTCCTTCGTTTCTTCCCCATCTTCCTTAAGCACCCACACACCAATAAAACACAAACAGAAAACAAAATACCTCCATCACCAGCCAAAAATCCAAAGTCCCCATGCAAATAGATTCCCGAGAGGACAGGGATCTCAGCTCCAACCTCCCAGAATATTGTTACAATGATTTGATGAGCTTAGCTGTCTACGATGGCAGCTTTCTCAGATGAAATGCTTAATTGCATGAGAAAACAGCTTTGAATACTGTCATATTATTTTGCAGTCTCCAGTTGAAAGTTGTAGTGTTTTTAACTAAATTTAAAGCAAGTATAAGCGCCTTATTTTATCCCAAAGTAATGTTACAAAAGTTTTTTATTCTTATTTTCCTGGATAAATGTGCTTCACATTTCCCCTATGTAAATAACTGCACTTGCCTGTGATGCCAATTAAGATAAGGCCACACATGCAGAGCCTTAAAAAACTAAAAATATACAATGTGCAAATAAAGATTAAAGAGAGTGCCTGTTGGGTTTTCTCTAAGCACCACCTTTTTAGACCATTCTTCATTCACCAAAAGCAACCTATTAACTTGCTTTCACCCCTTAATTACTCTCTGTTTATTAAATTTCCTCCAACTCTTGCTTTTCTCCATTTCCTCTGCATTTCCTTTCCATATTATAGCTCTTTTATGCGTAGCCTGCCTTCCATTTCCACAGCTGCCTGGACTTAGCTTTGCCACAATGCATTTCCTCTTAGTGAAATAGCTTTTGGAGAAAAGGCCAGGCTGTGGCACTGCTAAGGTGTTGGGGAATACTGAACGTGTTTGTGCTGAGCTTGCCCATGAAGCCGTGTGGTTTTGTGCAGAGTCTCAAAATATAAGGCCTTTCCTAGCTCGGCCTTGTCATGGACACTGAATGGGTAGGCCCCTTTCTGTTACAAATGAGGGAAACCCAAGTCAAACTGATCTATTCAAAGTAGGAGTTTTTGACTCATGTAACTGAGAAGTCTCAGGCACATCTGACTTCAGGAGCTTCTGGATACAGAGATTCAGATGATGCCATCAGGATGTGGGCTCTCATTCTTCATCCTCCTGCTCCGCTGTTTTGACTCCACTCTCAGTCTCACCCTTGTGGCCAAAAGATGGCTGTCATAGTCCCAGACCTTACATCTCATCCTAGTCAGAGAGACAGCACATTTCTTTTCCATAAAGCCCAATAAGGGTCTCATCATGTCTGATTGGTTCTGACTGGGTTACGTACCCTGAGCCCAGGGACGTGCTTGGCCTGGGCCTACTCACACAGGCGGAGCTGGAATTGCAGGTGGGGGCCCTCTGAGGGTGGGGAGGGGGAGCTGGCTCTCCAGAAGGAAACTGGAGTAGGACAGGTAGATGCCTCGCAGACTCTGTTCTGTAAAAGGGCAACTGAATTAATTAGTGAGCTTCTTTAAAGAGAAAAGTTTTATAAAAGGTTTTTCTCCTTTAAAAAAAAGCTTTATTTGACATCCCTACTAGTCTGTAACATTATCTGAACACAGCCTACTCCATATTCATGTTCCAGCATATTCTGGAGTATGAATTTACCTCACATGCCAAGTTCTTGGTCTTTGGCTACCAGCTCTTTCCCCAAATTATTTGACAGGGTGTTGGCCTTAAGCGTTCCGGGAAAGAATTGACATGTTGCCATGTGTAGCTTCTTTTCTCATGCTCTAAGAATAATATAATATACATGTTTATTCTCATATGTATAGAATATTCATTGGGAATGTACATGTTCTCTACAGTGTTTATTCTTTTAAATGTTATTCTTTGAGACAAGTAGTAGAGGGGACTTTGTTATGGAGTGTGGCAATTTCGTGATCCATTTGGGCATAGTAGATGTGTTGTGCTTCCTGGCTGGTGCATGAGCACAAAGCTCTAGTTGCTTCCCTTAGCAAAATTCTAGCATTGAAGCAGCTCCCCAGGCAGTTCTGGGAAAGCTGCCATGTGCTCAATTCATGCTCTGGAAAAATGGCTCAGTCCTATGTAAAGGCAGATGATCTTCTGGACTTAAACTACTGTATGATAGGATTGTGGTGGATCATCCAGTAGTCTCAAACTTCTCCCCAGACTCCAAGACATCAAAAGTTGTGCCACCCATTCATGGGAGGCTTATTTCTTTGGATTTGCAATAAGACTTGGCTTTTGTGAAAGTCTATGATGAAATGAATTGACTCTATGAAAGAAAAATAGGTGTGAAATAGGATAAAATCAAGTTAGCTTGTTCAATTTAAATATTTCAATCCCTGCATTAACATATGCTTTATGTGTGTATGTGGGAAGGTGGTGGAGCCATCCCTGTCTCTCACACAAGAGGTGAAGAATGACATCAGAGCAAAACACAGCTGATCAAATGCAATGTGAGCGGGTCAGATTTTGTAACATGGAAGGGCCAGGTAGCTCACACTTCAAGCCTGTGTTCCAGTGTGCCTCCCAAGTCTCTTTGTGGTAGGCAACAGTATGGCAGTTCCTGGTCCTGAAAAGGTGCTTTCCTTTTCGGTTCTGATAGGAGCAGCCACCACTTCTTGAAGACTTACAATGTGCTAAGAGCTGTGCTAAATGTTAAATTAATTTCATCTACACAATAGAGATGAGGTAGGTGATATTAGCTACATTTTCTGGAAAAGGAAACTAAGATGATTAAGTAACATGATCGAGCTCCCACAGTTAGTACGGGGCAGGTAGGCATTTAAATTTCCCTCCCTGCTCCCCTTCGACACAAGCAGGGGTCACAAACACAGACTTCCTTGGGCCCAGGCAGGTAATATAAATAGGTGAAGAGGGCCCAGAGTCAGACAGAGTGGTGGCGACTGTGGTGAATTGGGGGGTATTTATTCCATCAAAGGGCCGCCTGGTTTCAGTCTGCTTATGCCAGCACCGTAAGCCTGGGGTGACTGAGTTTTCCATCTTTTTCACAAGGAACTAGAAATCCACATTTGTCTTTAAAAATCTATTTTGTTCAATGTTGTCAATTAATTTTAATTTTCTTGAACTACCACTGGCTACGAATAGCATGTGTGGTGGGCTCTGACCTGCTCTGAAGCCTAGGCTCACCTGTGCTCTGCTGGCTGCTTTCTGTGTGAAAGCTCTTGCTCTCAGGCCTTCTCGCCTACACAGGTGATACGCTCTTACCTGGCTCTCCACTGCTGAGCAGTATTCGGTGAGAAGTGCCTGGCCCCAACTAACCGAGTGGTCTTGTTTCTCTCCTCTCCCCAGGCCCACGCTTGCAGGCCTCAGCCCTTTCTTGCTGAAACATTTGTGCTTCTGTGCCTAGCA